CAATGCCCATAAAACCGCTAGAAATCAACTGCACCGTCCAACAGTCACATTCGAAAAACGCTCCAACCGTATTCAAAAAAGTAGCGTCACACATGCGTAGTGAGGTGATTGCAAATGGCCGGTCCTCGCGACTACGCGTGACATCGTCGCTTCTTTGCGACGTCGGCCATGTTGAATGTACAGACAAACTGGTACTTGTGCGCTTTGCCCGGCGTGGTAAGTGTATTCTTTCACACACACACACACACACACACACACACACACACACACACACACACACACACACACACACACACTTTCTCTCTCTCTCTCTCTCTCTCTCTGTGTGTGACTCAAGGAAGGCTAGCGCTATAGCCAAATGAATTATGATCCGCATCTTGATTTCGCTATAAACCTTAAAGATGGCTAGCACATTGGACACAATCTTTTTAATACTTGCCTGGGACACGTCTTCGATTCACAGTGTAAGTATAATATTAAACAGGACCCTTACTTTGTATCCATCAACTTAGCTAAATCAAATGTTCATTATTTTCTTTAACCTATAAAGTAGACATCCAGCTGAAAATTGTCTTGTCAGAAAGCAAAGTTGTGACCTTTTTTTCACGACATTTTTCCGGTCACTGAAAAATGAAGACTTTAAAGATATCTTGCAGTGTTTATGTTTGTAGTTCAAACTCAAAGCTTATTGCAAAGGGCAATGCGACGGAAAATCCCGAAAAGAAATATGCAAGTGAAACAATTATTATGGAACAGAGATATTAATGCTTATGAATGGTTTGTCTGTGTAGTAAGATTCTAGCTACTATATTAATAATGTCATATTTGTCAGTAATCACACGTACGCGTGGCTGGGTTCTGCCTATAAGAAGGCTTTCTCCTAATGGGAGGATGATTAGATACACTAACAATGATTTACTGCCTTATATAAACAGTGTTTTAATGGGCACGTGGAGAAGTAGTTAGCATTGCGACCATAAGAACCTGGTTCGAATCCAAACATGGTCGATTTGTCAAGATGATGATAGCAGCCTGGAGATGACTCCAGTGAGCGGTCCAGTTGGGAAGTACCTGAATACTACACAACGGGTTGAGCCCACACTTTTTAAAAAATCATTTCACCCCAAGCAAAAAGATAATGTCACAAAGATACAAGAGGAGTGGAAGGGAATGAAAAGACTTTGGCGAGGAGAAAGGACAATAAAAAGAACAGGTTTCAAGAAAAGAGAAGATGGCGATTAGCGTTGCATTTGAATTTTTGAAGATCGTAGGCGGCAGGGAAGCAAGGTACCGGAAGAGAGTTCCACGGGCGAGAAGTGAGAGAGAAGTAGAAAACGTGAGACCAAGAAGGCACAATGAGTTGCTCTCCTGGAGGTTAGCATCAGCCATGCTGATGTAAGGCAAAATAGTTCTAGGATAGAAGTTTCGTTTTGGAGGCGTTAAAATTGATAAGTCATTTCTTGCCCCAGTTAACAACTGATAGTTTGTTATTTTAGATAGCCTCTGCCAGTTTTACTTTGTTAGAGCTATCGGATTATTAAGACTGGAGTAAATCGTCGTGTCATCAGCATAAATAACTAGTTAGGAACTGATGACATCGGGAAGGTCGTTGATGAAGATAAGAAACAACGTAGGTCCAAGGATGGAGTTATGGGAGGACCCACATTAATGGGAATGATCTAGAGGCGTAACCGTTCAAGACAACATTCATTACCCGATTGGTTAAGAACGATTGAATTAAGCCAAATATCCGGCCAGAGACACCATAGACCTTGTGGAGAAGGTCAGCATACCAAACTGTTAAAATAAATCAATATATCTAAAGCCACAGTTCGAGCCTTCGACGTTTTTATTTAAAGCCTGATAGACCAATTCAGTAATAATCGTTAGCACATCGCCGGTTGACCTAGAGAAACAAAGCCATATTGTCTATCAGAAAGAAGGCTGTGTGAAGTGAGATGCTTAACCAATTCGGCGTTGATCAGAGCCTCTAGTCTTTTTTCTTTTATGTGCCGTGTCCTTTCAGGACGTAGGAGATCATGGCCCTCTACATCTTTCTGTTCCTTTTAGCTTTTAATAAGTTTTTTCTTTTCGTTATTTCTCCCAAACCCAGTTCTGCCATCCATTTTCCACCCCCCTTCCTCATTACGTGCCCCAGAAATCTCAACTGCCTCTTCCTGATGTTAGGTATAAGTTTGTTTTTTGTTTCCATTTTTTCCAAAACCTCATCGTTGTTCACACGTTCGGCCTATGGTATCCTTATCGTTCTGTAGAAGCATATTTTTGTTGCTTCAAGTCTCTTCTTCATCTTTGAGGACATTGTCCAGCATTCGCTGCCATACAAGAAGACAATTTTACAGTATCACAGGTAACATCAATATACAAGTTGCCCAGAAGGTAGCCCTACTGGGAACATTCAATATACTAAGAAAAGTGCTATCAATTAAATGACAATTCTCCTATAGGGCCTAAGGACCATAGTTCGGACTTGGCTCTACAG